TTATTTATATCATTCTATTATCGTATAGAATTATCGTCAGATAGAACGGATTAAATAATGTTAGCTTGTTGTTTTCATAGGTTTGGATTAGAATGCAAAATAAACTTGGCTTAGCTTAAAGGAACTTTTATAACTAGTACATGTTTTACTAATGTATATATTGTTATCATGCATTTACCATCATCATATCAATATTTATATCATTCCATTATCGACATGCATTATTGTCAGATAGATCGAATAAAATAATCTAAGCTTGTTGATTAAAGGAGCTTTTATAACTAGTATAGGTGTTTCGTACATATTATTATCTTTAATTTATCATCATCATCATCATATCATTATTTATGCCATTCTATTATCGTCATGAATTACCGCCAGATATGGAGGATTATATAATGTAAGCTTTTTGTTCCTATAGGTTAGAACTAGAATGCAGAAACAGCTTGAGTTCCATTCACTTTCGTTTTCTCAAAGCAACTTAAACTTACCTAAAAAGTCAATTATAAAAAGAAATCATATAATATATATTTCAGCATTAACAAGCCTTAACTTTATCTTGCAGTTCTGCCAATTTAAACTTCATTAATCAATCTTTCATTATTTTTGAGAATAAAACAAACTACGATTTGCCTAATGCAAGGCATACTTGTTACTAATTTTGAGTAAATAGATGTCTAGATTTACCAATCAACAGAGCGCTGGTATAAAGTTATCAAGAATAGTTTAGTTGAGCGGCTGCATAAATAAAATAGGATACCGAAACAGAGTCAAGCGACTAAGCCCCCAAGCTCACTTGGTTTCCCATGGATTTTTGCGTAAGTTTAGCTCTTTGCAGCCCCATCCCCATTCGCATCCCCCATCAACAGATCCTCCTGATACCCGCACAAAAACGTCTCCTCGTAACGCATCCTGCAACGCAAGTTGGTCTAAATTTATGTACAAACTCACTTAGGCAAGAATGTTTATGCGTTTGGTACGTGTTGGTTACTGTCGCTCATGTGTAGAGCATCCTACACTTTTCCCTACCTTTGCCGACTCATTCCCTCGAAACCCACTCGTTTATTTTGGCATTTCTACGAATTTTTTGGGGAAATTTTGTAATGCGTTCTATGCTCGGAATGTTGTCTCCAGGGACGAGAGTCAGATGGCAGGGGAAAATGCGTTCTCACGCACACCAAAAAGTGTTATGAAATTTGTCTTCTCTAATGACCTAAATGCCAAGGAATTTATCCAGCATTTGAGCTAATTGCTATTACATTTGGTACAATTTAAAATTTCGGAAATTAAATTAGCAGTCTTCTTCACTGCCAAGCAAAGTGGCAACACAACAGACTTTAATCTTACTTAAGAAATGTATTTACATTTTTCTTAGCCATTAAATAAACGAAGAAGTCAACTTTGTATATAACCCGATCCGAACTTAATTGGTTTATTTTGTTTTGTTACGATTGAATTTAAGCCTTAAGGGCAACATTGGCGTACAATTTAGATGGATTTCTTTTATAAATAGTATAGAATTTCCATTATAATAAGAAATTTGTATATTTTTTCCTAACTGGCTCTCTGAACTATATTATATTTCGCATGCTGGCTACTTAAATTTTCTTAAAATGTTTCAGAACAATCTTGGCAAATGTCTCACTGCTAAGACGTCGCCACTTGAAACCCGTCACGCTTTGACAATTTTAGCATTTTTCTTTCGCAGCCTGTTTCCCCTGATCACTCTGGCTGAAAACTATACTTGGCAGTTGCATGAGGGCCAATTATCTGGCACCTCGCGCGGCGGTTTCGTTCCAGCTATTTACATATAATTAGCGCCCAACTGGCAGGCCGCAGCATCGTTGTTCGCCACTCTCGTTCTCAGTATTATTTGCACGACGCAGTTTTTGAGCATTTCTTTGCAGTTACCCACTCCCACTTTCCCCCGAAGTCCTCTGTTGGCCAACTTTGACAATGAAGTTGCAAAGATGACGATGCCAAAAAATTGGAGCAAGGGAAAATAAATAAGAAAAATTTAGACGGGAGTCGATCCAAAAATACCTTAGTATTTCAGGATGGCTACCTTTACTATAAAAGTGTAGATACAATTTTCTCAAGTCAATCCTTAAAATAATCTTTAAAACATTTTCTGCTCATTGAAGTTTAAAAAGTAAATTGGAGTTTAATAAAGTATTATAACTAAGATATATACAAATATAATATTTATATTATGAGAAGTGAAAACAGGATATTTAAGAGTCTGGATCATAACATACAAAGTTTTTTATATGATCGAATTTATAATCAATTTTTGAATGGAACATCGAAATATCAAAGGACCCCGTGATCTCGATCTTAGTTGGCACAAATACAGTATTCCTTTTCTTAATAACAGGTATAGAAATGAATATATAATCCATTGACGGAATGCAAATGGGAACGTTAAGAAATTTAGCAGTTAGAAATAAAAACGAAATATTCAAAGTTTTTGATCATGAAATACATCGGTTCCTTTTATTATACATTTTTAATCTATCTTGAGAGTGGAATATAGAGACATTAAAAGATCTCGTGATCTCAACTTTCTTTGGCACAAGGTAATAAACTATTAAAATAGCGGGTATACTATTCTAAATACCGGGTATAGGATCGGCCGAGAGAGACCATTGAGGGAATGCGAAAAAGTTTTCCCGGCAGTTGCATCGAGGCGCCAACTTAATAAGGCCACCAAAGAGCCCAGTGGGTGGCGAGAATGCAAAGCAGTGGGCCACAAAAAAAAAGGAAAGCATTCAGGCTGCAGCCTGGAAAAGTGAGGCTCTCTTGAAGGCAACACTTTCCACAAAGCAGCCAGCTTAGAGCGAGAAATATTCCATTTGATTGCACTGAAATGTTGAGGTCCATGGAGCAAACAAAATCGAATTCCCGATTGGTAGAGGTTTGCGCCCAGACATCCGTCGAACGCAACCCTCTTTGACTGACAGACAGTCGGTCGGACTTTTGTTTGTCGGATCAGCAATAAGTGAAACCCACCCGGCGTATTCGTAATGGGGCTTATGAAGGAGCGAAAGTAAGCCCTGTTCGCTTTTCGCTTTTCAATTTTTGATTCACCATTCCCAGTTTGCAGTTCCCAGTTCCCACTTCCCATAATTACCCAGTCATCTGTGGCGGTCATTTTCATTAGCTGGCATCACGATGGCGTCGGACCAAAAGCCGCAACAACAGCAGAGTGTACCATTGTTCAAGAATACCTGGCTGTAGTTAATTTCGCTGATGCCCCCATGTCTGATGCTCCCGCTGTTGACTATTTTGCTGCTGGCTCAGCGGCTGTTTTCGGCATCCGACTGCAGTTAAAACCAATTATGTGAGGCCTCTACTGAGGGGTTTCAGCGTATGCCTATAAGCTGGCAACAGGGAAGCGGTTAAAATCCCGGTTTTTAAACTAAACCAAAAATCTGAACTCCTCTCTACAACGGGTCTAGAGAGGAGTTCAGATTTTTGGAACTCCTCTTTACAACGGGTCTAAAGAGGAGTTCAGATTTTCGGTTTAGTTTCTAACTCAAAAATCAGATAAGAATTGTATCTTCAAGTATATTTCATTTCAGACACTAATAAATTGTAATCTATTTGTTTTAAGATTCGTATATAACACAAATTACATAACATATAGAATTGAACATTTCTCTTCAATCTTAAGTTATTATTCATTTTTTGCATTTATCTGGTCTTCCGCAAACGCAAACTTTATCCACACAGGTATACTGGTGTTTTTTAGTACACATAAACACTCCCGAGCGAAATATCCTTTTGCCTTGCAAAGCCAACTGACATTCCAAATTTCCTCCACAAAAATTACCCTGAGTAAAAATTGCTTCGCAGAACAGTAATGTCACAAACAATAAACGCATTTCTCCTCGTTGATATTCCGCCAGCATTTTTAAACTGAAAGTTAATTAAGTTGCGACAAATCCAATAAGATTCGTCTAGGTAACAAGATTTACTTTTAATCAAGTGTGAAATATATATGCATTTTTTAAGGGCGCTTTTTACTCATTTTAAAATATTTACTGTCGAAAAAAATTATTCATATTTCATTTACCTTTTTTGACAAAAACTTAGTATTTTCCCTAAGATTGTTAAGTTGGCATCAAATATCAAAATAAAGTTAAATATATTAAAGCTTAATTGCATTTTCAATTTGACTAATTAAATTTGATTATTTTGTTTCAATTTTATTAACATTTTGTTCTTAAAGCTAAAATATTTAGTGATCTTCTATTTTATTTTTGTAACAATTTACAAGTTTTAAAAAAATCATGACTATTTTTAATTTTTTTTATCCTTAATTATGAATTAATATTATGAAAAATAGTGAATCCAATGTTTTCTTTTACCTAGGGTTATACACTTCACACTTTGTTGGGATATTTCGTCTGCAAAAAGACTTTCATCATGAAACGAAACAAAACGAACAAACTTTGGCCACAAATGGCGTTCGAGGAATTTTTTAAATAAACCCAATTAAATTTAATCCCACTGCATGAGTAGCAAGGATTAAACTATATCAGCAAAAAAATAACTCTCAATAACACATTCCACGAGAGTCTAAAGAGTAAAAATAAGCTCTATAAACGTGTACAAAATGTCTGTCTACATGCAGAACGTGATGTCAATAAAAGTTTTGCATCGACTTCGATAAATGCCAAAGGGTTGCAAAAGGAATGAAAATAACATTTTTTTTTTTGTTTTTTTTTGCATTTGCCAAGCATTTACAGAACGTGATTTGAGTTATTTATTGAACATATATTTGCTCCACATCGACCTCTTAAAAGTTTTTACAATTTATTCTAAAGGTGATAAAACCTAAACGGGTTCTTACTTCTCAAAAGTTAGGAGAGTTTTAAAAATGTTCTATTATTTTCAACTGACTGAATCATGCAAATTTATATTTTTACAGTATTCCATTCACCTCTATTATTTTATTTGTCGGAGCATAGTAATCACTGTCTGAAATGTCACACTATACATCACAAAACAGAAGTAGTAACAACAAATAATAGTGCAATTCAGTGTATAAGAAGATTTTGGATTTTAAACAAAATAAACAACAGGAATCTGTGGAAATTTAGTAAAGGTAATGAAGAAACTAATATAAAAAATTATAATGAATATACCATATAAGATAGACAATACTTAAATTCCCTAAGCTGCTCTCCCACGATTTCTATCTTTTTATAAGAATAAATCCAACCAATAATTGCACTTCATCTCACCAGCTTAATGTCGACACTTTGATTGAAGCCTCGACATTTGCAATTGCTCTGCATTTTATTGACTTCCATTCGCACAGCTTCTTTTTCCCAGCTTTCCATCAATGTTAATTGTGCAAAAGTTTGGTGTGTGTGTGTACGCTTTAAATTGCCCTCGAAATTGTTGTGCCAAAAATCATTTAATGGAAAACTTTACTACAATTGAATCAACACCCACAGAGTATTTTTATCTGATGCTTTTGTTCGTCCTGCTGTTGCTTCTGTTGATCCTTTTCCATTTAATGGAAGCCAAAAGTCAAATTGAATTTTATTTGGAAATTTCCACACTTATACTCCGCCCAAAAAATACATTCCTGACTGGACCATCTATCATTTCAAGCTGACCCAACAGTTTCCGAAATTGCCAGCCTTCAATTAGCTCCATAAAGTTTAATTTTCAATTTATGCATTTTTATTTTTGCACTCCCAGTAGCAAAAAATATGGGAAAATGCAATATAAAACAGTGAATGAAAGAGTAGGACAAGGGAAAATTATTCATAATCGTTGGAATGGCTTCCGAGTTGCCAACTGTTTGGCAACCAGCCAATGGATTATTGAATAGGAAGAACGCTGAGACGGCTTAGGCGCGCGGATGGTTGAGGTCGGTAGGTTGTACTTGTTGCCGGTTGTCTAATGTCGGCCGGCAAATACACCAAAAGAAAATGTATGTTTTTAAAAAATCCAATAAAAAAAGGGAATTTAAATATTTTTGCTAAATCAGATTAAATTCTTTTAAATTATAATGTTGCATGAGTATGTTTGATCTATAAATGGTCCATTTAATGTCCACAATCCTGTAACTAATGCGTAATTTATTGTGTTCTAATCTGAAGTCTTTGAGCTTTATACTTTAAAAAATCATCAGAAAGGTTAAAAATTCAAAAAAGGTATGATGCGAATCCACGGGGGATATATGGGATAGATCCCCCCTCTCGGGTTAAAAAGTATATGTAATATGTATTTAATTTTAATTTTTTGGATTTCTACTCATCCTATTCTTAATATATACCCCTTGCAACCAAATTCTGGATTATCCACTGCATGTATATATGACATATTTAAAGTTTCTTGTCCAATTCATGTTTAATTAAATTTAAATGAGACAATACAAAGTACCGTAGAAAGTGCTATAAGAGACCTCATAAATTAAGCCTATAAATCATCCGAATTAAGGATAAACAACTTGATTGTTTCTGACTGTGGTAGCGTAATGCCTCATAGTGCAGGGCAACAAAAGAAAAGCTTCAGTGTACTTTATAATTACCGGCTTCGGTCGGAAAAGCCATTTCATGCCGGGCCTTCTGTGCCACGAAGAAAAGAAAAGAATGCAGTCGAGGGTCTGAGAATGAAGTGAGAAGAAGGCAACAACAAGTGCAATTATTTCAATTATGTCAGACAACTTCTCGACTCCGTATTCGAGATACAATGGGGTTGCACCGGGGTGCTGCATATTGCATCGAAGCACTCACTCCGCACTTGTGCAGTTCTCGCAATTATGTGAGGACCAAGGACCTCTCAGGAGGTGAGGTTTCAGACCCGGTTGAGCCCGGCCGAATTAACCCGCTCCTCTTTGTTTTCGCACCCAACATGGCACACACATATCTTGTTTATTGTGTCTCCGAATATAACTTGTGTATTTGCGTATTATAATTTGCATAAATTTCAACTGCCAGCGCCGGGAGAATGAGCCAAAAGCTGCCGAAAGAAGAGCCCAGAGCAAAGGGCAAACGACTTGCGGTAGGAGGTGGCTCAGAAAACAATTTAATAATAAGAAAATACAAGTGACAAAATGAATTATGTTGTTATTCCTCTTGCATAAGCACACACACACACACACACACACATGAGTATCTTGAGAAGACAATTCTGAAGAGGTTTTTTATCTACTGACACAAGAGGGACTTGTGGTACTTTCGGGAGTATAAAAGCAGGCCAGTTATTGTATAAAAGAGTAAAATAAGCAGCATCTCGGTATTTCTAAGGAATTCACTCGATTGCACAAGGGGTTACATGGGTTTGTTGGACCAAGAACAAAACTTGAACATATCCAATTAAATCTTCTGATAGAACCATCGAAAACCCCTAACTGGTTAGTATTTTAATTAAATTTTCATTTGAAAACGTTGATAATTTTTGCTAAAATTAAAAAAGCAGCAGAAAATTGTTGGTTGTTAAAAAAGTGAATAAAATTTAAGAACTATTTTTATTTTAGAGTATCATATGTGTTAATACTAGAACAAAGAGAAATACATTTTTTGGCGGATCCTTTATCAAAAAACTTAAATGTTAACTTAATGTTAATATTTTTTAAGCCACTGTATTGTAGTCATTTAAAAAAAATTGGTTAAGGATTTTTAAATTTGATCCATTTTTATTTTGTTCGAAAAAGTTTTAAATTTGTTTACTTTTAAAAAAAAATATAAAAAATATATTCTAGCATTAAAAATGTTTACCATACCAGACCTTAAATATTTTTTTGATATTATATTATATAATATATTATATATGATATTATTGTAGATATCTTAACTAACCAACTATTAGTAACTAACTTAACGAATATTACATACAAAATAAGCTACCCAACGTTTTTGTGCTTAAAGCCATAATCAGTACTTTTCTTTACTCTTAACTTACCAGATTCAGCTTGTTAATTTGCTATGGCTGGGAGGTTAAAGGTAACGTCGTGCTTCACTGAACAACAAAACCCACTTGAAGTTTGCATAACGTATACGCCCTGTGGCAAAGCGTCATCGATGATGTTTGCAATTGTGCAAAAAATGAGAGCAGGCGGATACCTTGTCTTTTACCCAAAACTCCCTCTATATGTACAAATATATACATATAAAAATACCCTGCTAGTCCTGCATTGGTATTCCTGGTTTGCCCATTTCATGGCTGCCGCTGACGGATATAATAAAGCTTCGATTATTCCATGGCATCTGTGGGATATATGCACATATATGTGGGAAAGGGCGACCAGGCAGACAACAAATTGTTAGACGCTACAATGAACTCTGATGCGATTGATTGAAAGTCACTAGGAGAGATAAAATACCATTGGTTTATGCTGTCATCTAGGAGTTGGAAATCTTTTAACTCCTCACCATGCCTTAACCCCAGATCAAAATTTCCCTGCCGTCTTGGTTAGGCATCCTCTGTCGTGTCAACAAGTTGGGGGCAAACAATTTAAATTACAAAGCAAACTCAATAAAAATGTTAAAAACTTTTGGCCATGAAGAAGACATTCTGGCTGATCCCAGATTTGTTTAGTTTCGAGGTCCTTGACATGCATAAGTTATGGCCTGGATTGGGGGTAATATAGGAAGAGGAAGCCAAAGTTTTATAAGAAAAACAAATCGTGTCGCTTATTTATAAGCCTGTAAACAGATTTTATGAGCCTGCCCAAACATTGCCGGCCGGGAAGAAGAAAAAGTTGCAATCGTCTGTCGAGTCCCCCAATCGATTTTGGACCTTCATCCCTTCCGCCAGTTTTCAATTTATTAAAATGACCGTCAAAAATCGTTTGTGTGCGAAAGTTTACGCTTATCCCAAAACACTTTTTGGACAGTTCAAACTTATTTTTTCCCCTACAATTTTTTTTTTTCAAATTTGGTGGGCAGCGATGACTGCGTTAAGACAAAACTTTTCGATCGAAGAAAAGTTTTCAGGATGTGTCGGACTTATGATTGCCTCGAAACGCACTGCATCTAAAAGTCTGAACTTGTTTTTCATTCACCCAGACAGCATAATTTTTGATTGCGTAACTTTTCCCTCACTTCCCAAAGGGGAATAAAGTGGAAAGTTGTTATCCCCTTCGGTACATATCTTATGCCAAAAGCCGTCACACACGCCATGTTTAGCCCAGTGTGACCTTTTCCACCTGACTTCCCAGCCAGCCGGGGCGCCGAATTCGCCGAACTAATAATACAAAGCACGCCAAACGGCCCACGTCAAGCGACCTAACCTAAATACCGGAAATGCCCTTTATAATGCGCTTCCGGCTCGTGTGAGCAGGCCCAGACGGCGGATGGTACGGTATGCCATGGGTGGTTGGAAGGTCGGGTGCTTTGGGATCGGGGGTCTGAGTGTTAAAAACCAAACCAGACAACAGCCCGGCCCACACCAAGCCGTTTCGGCTAATCAAAGTGTGCAGCCAACTGCAAAGGGGAACCAGAGGAACCTGGGGGCAATGTGCGGCCAGCCAGAGGGGATGCAGCTGACCACACCAAACATCCAGGCTATTGCACCAGAAGAAGACCTCGACTTCGTCGTACACTCTTGAATGGGTTAGCATGCTCTCACATTAGAATTAATCCTAAACGAAAATGGTCACTGGATTATTTTAAAAATTCATATGACCTAAACATAATTTAATAAATACAATATAAATAAAACCATTAAGGTAGTCAAAAATAAAGGACTAGGCCTTTTTTATTATTATTATTATATTTGTTTATTATTATTAATATTACGAGTTCCGCTCTTGAACTGGTTAGCATGTCCTCACATAAGAATCAATCCATATGACCTAAACATAATTTAATAAATAATAAATAGATCCAGTTAGCTTGTCGAAAAGTAAAGGTCTAACCTTCATACTTAATTGTATTTAAGATATGTGATATGCGATTGTCTATAAGCTCATGTTGCCTACCTCGGTTTTACTTGTTAGGGCAATCGCCGATGTTATCAAACACCGCATGGAAATCAATATTATTATAACATAACCGTTTTACTCGAACCATATCGTTTGTCCTGTTAAACAAAAGGTCCCTTCCGGGAACCCTCATCGCTTTAAGCCAACTTTTATACCAACTTTCCTAAGGCAGAATCGTAGCCTATTCAGAAATTAATATTTTATATACATAGTTTATTCATCAGTGCTCTGGAGAATCATAATCGCATTATTTATAGACAAACAGTGGAATCAATTTACAACCAACCAATAATTGTTATTATTTTCGTAATTACTTATTACAAAGGCCATGTGCCCACGTCTATTCCCTTTTATAAGGCCGCATCTATAAATAATAATTTCTTTCTCCTCTTTTTACCCGACCAATCATCTAATAAACTTTCTGAGTAAATCCGCTTAAAATTTCCCTTTCAACTTTGGCAAGATTTTGACCATCACTTTAAGTTAACAAAGCCGACCGCAGCACGTATTTGTACCCTTTACTTGCTGAGAAAGGGGGTCATTCTGCCCATAGACAAAAAGGAAAGTTAAAGAAAGTTTCAAATTGGGTCACATACGAGCAAAATAATATTTTCAAAGGATGTAAATTTTATAAATTTATCTAAATTAGGTCAGTTCTAAAGAATAATACCATCTGTTTCTTAAAATCTTTTATTTACTAAGCAATTTGTCTGTGGGAAGGGGGAATCTCGAAGTCGAGAGGCACGACTTAAGCCTTCTTTCTTGTGTTAATTAAACTTTCTGCCGTGCCATTACCCTCTTTATACTTAGGCTCAGTGCCCCTTTTCGATCCATTTACCGTGCCCCCAACCCTTTTCCTGTTGCGTGCCAAGTTTTTGTGGTTAATTATCGATTAGAGGGGTCGTGAAAGGAAAAGGAAAAATCGCGCCTGGGAAAGTCCTTGGACTGCGGCGCGGCTGGGTTAAATCCAAAAAAGACAAGTTAATTGAAGTGCAAAGCCTTTTATAGGGTGAACAATGTTGGGAAGAGTTAACACAAAAGCTGAGCATCAATGGGTTAATAAGGGGCCAGCTGTTATACCGATTATTACACTCCTAGTTATTGTCCCATTACTTTCTCCCCAACAACTTATTTATTAATAAAGCACGGACCTGGGTCTCACCTGATTTATTTACCTGTGTCGCACACTTATATACAAACGGAGGGATACTAATGATTACCGTTTGCCTAATTTATTGGATTTATTCGCGGACTCAACACGCAAATGGACTGACAGAGGTCAGTTTCCCTGCCCTGTCTTTGTCCTTTTTTTGGGTCATTTATTAATTGCGCCCCAAATGCGTGCGCTAATCTCTTCATTATGCGATTTCATAATGGATTACATTCGAATAAATGTGCCTCATTTGCCATCTCCAGTCAGGCGCTCGGCCGACTGCTAATTTTCTTTAATTTCGTTGCCATTTTCCTAATGACGCGTGGGCTTCTTCTTGGCCTGCTCGAAGTCCCAGTTCCCAAACTCCCGAGTCGCGTTAATAGGTCAGTGTTCTCTTGTAATATTAATGTCTGCTAATTTAAGACGGCTGTTGTAATTAAATCAGATGCATCACTGTTAGCAAGTGTGGGTGGGGATGGGGTGAAAGAGATGGATTAATGTAATCGATATGGTTGTTATTAACAATATATTGCCTTGCTTTATGATTAAATGAAACCTTGGCTGCCATTTAAATCTGCACTATCAAAAATTAGTTTATGATAGATAGCAGAAACGGACTAATTTTTTTGTAACACATGTTGCCTTATAATACCATACAACATATTTTTTAAGTCCCCAAAGGTTTTCCATTGTAATTTTCATTGGGATAGTAGGAACTCAAAAAAACCATATACTAAAGTTAATCCTAAGAAAAAACACCTTGTTCGAAATAATAGATAAGAGTTAATTCCAATTTGTAAGCCCGTTACTCGTAAAGTATACCAGATTTTACGGAACGTATGGATATGGATATATATATATATATAAAGGGTCAGATATTATTCTATCGCTAGGTGCAAAATTAATTTTTTTACAATGTATCAAGATAATAAAAGCTTTTTCAGGAGCTTACCAATTTAAAACAATTTCTCTAAAAAATTATTCGTCATTGTTTGTATTTTATTATTAACAAGCACAACAAAAATGGTAATAAAAGCAGAGAATAATCGACTGGCGTCATGTGCTGCCACAGGCTGAGAGCAAATTTGCACTTAACTCCAAGCCCATCTTAGAACGTCCTGACACTTTCCCAGGTAATTAAAACACAAATATTAGCGAATGTCTGGGGGTGGGGATGGTGCCACCCACCTCGAGAGCCCATTTTGCAATTTAAATTTTCATGAACAAGCACCGCCATTTGTCGCTGTCCGCCCGGTTGTCTTCAATGTCTGGTGTCCCGTTCCGTACCGACCCCTGATCATGGTTCTGGGTTCTGGGTTCTATGTTCTGGGTTGTGGGTGCCTCGCTATAAGGCTCGCCTTACGCTGCCTTAACAGTTTTCAATTTTCCGCTCGCTTGTAAGCGCAGCTGACAGCGACTAGCGAACGATACCCCAGCGAAGGGCTTATGTTTCTTGGAAGCGGGGTGAAAACAGGGGTGACTGTGGGGGGAATACCCATTCCACAATGGCTTTTATTGTATTTCGGTCGCTGTCGTCGCACATTTTTACGACTATTTAAATGGTTTTCACTTTTCGGTTACAAATTGTCGCACAGGTAAATGTTCATTGGATGGGGAGAAGGTTGGGAGGTATACTTTAGTGGTTTTCGATAGCGGTGGGTTGAAAGTGGCCCACTCGAATGGCCAGAGAAAAGCCTAATTTAATCTGGCTTTACATTTTAATTAAATGCGTTTTGTATAAATTAATAAATCCTAATAAGTTGTTATTACAAAAGTGCAATAAATTTTACCTTTTAAGATTTATTCCATTTTTTTAATTTTAAGTGTTTTATTATTCTCTGAAAAAGTAAAATAAATTACGCAATATGTAATGGGAAGTAAGTAAAACACAAATTTAAAGTCTCAAAATTAGTGTTGAAATAGCTTGTACTATAAAGTTTATTCTGCAAACTTTGATTTATTTTCAGAATTTTTATAATATAACTTAAAGGTATTAAAAATATATTTTAATTAAATTCCTCATTAAAATGTATTATTAATTTTTATTTTTCCATCCAGATTATTCTGCTATTCATATTGATGTTTGTTCATATTAACATTTACAATTTATAGTTTTTTCAGCTTATTTAGAACGTGTTATACATTTTTCTTCAAACCATCATCCATAATAACAAAATGCTTATTATTCTTTGCTCTCTAAAATAAATAATAAGTAATTCCTTCTTTCCTATTTAAATAAACAGAGTAGTCTAGAAGCCTGTGGATCAGTCTGTCAGTAGTATACGATACTTCAGTTTCCCATTTTACATTTAACAGCACGAGCTTCAACAGTGTTTCCCTATTCACCAGTAAAAAGCAACAATCAGTAAGTGGGCGGACCAGAGGATAACCTTTCACCCCTTTTAACACTTACCCACCCAACCCCCAGTTCATCATGATGCGCATGTTCACCGGCTCCCTGCGGCGTACTGCCAGGATCAACCATGTCCTGTGGGCGCGCTCCTACGCCAAGGATGTGAAGTTTGGACCTGAGGTAAGGGCGATGATGCTTCAAGGAGTAGATGTCCTGGCAGATGCGGTGGCCGTGACCATGGGACCCAAGGGACGCAACGTGATCATCGAACAGAGCTGGGGCTCCCCGAAAATCACCAAGGACGGCGTGACGGTGGCCAAGTCGATCGCTCTGAAGGACAAGTTCCAGAACATTGGGGCCAAACTGGTCCAGGATGTGGCCAATAACACGAATGAGGAGGCAGGTGATGGCACCACCACGGCCACCGTTTTAGCCCGCGCCATTGCCAAAGAGGGCTTCGAGAAGATATCAAGGGGTGCCAATCCGGTGGAGATTCGACGCGGGGTGATGCTGGCCATCGAGAATGTGAAGGACAACCTGAAGAAAATGTCCCGTCCTGTCAGCACTCCCGAGGAGATCTGCCAGGTGGCGACCATCTCGGCCAATGGCGATAAGTCGGTGGGCAACCTCATCAGCGAGGCCATCAAGAAGGTGGGTCGGGATGGGGTGATCACGGTGAAGGACGGCAAGACCCTCTGCGACGAGCTGGAGGTGATCGAGGGCATGAAGTTCGACCGGGGCTACATTTCCCCTTACTTTATCAACTCCTCCAAGGGAGCCAAGGTGGAGTTCCAGGATGCCCTGCTGCTCTTCTGCGAGAAGAAAATCAAGTCGGCCCAGAGCATTGTTCCAGCTCTGGAGTTGGCCAACTCCCAGCGCAGGCCACTGGTTATTATAGCCGAGGATCTGGAGGCGGAGGCTCTGAGCACCATGGTGGTCAATAGGCTGAAAGTGGGCCTCCAGGTGTGCGCGGTGAAGGCTCCTGGTTTTGGGGACAACCGCAAGGAGATGCTGGCCGACATGGCCATAGCCACTGGTGGCATTGTCTTCGGAGATGAAGCAAACCTAGTGCGATTGGAGGACGTCAAGATGAGCGACTTTGGACGCGTGGGCGAGGTGGTGGTCACCAAGGACGACACCATGCTGCTCAAGGGCAAGGGGCAGAAGGCAGAGGTGGCCAAGCGGGTGGAGTCCATACGCGAGGCCATCAAGGAGTCCACTTCCTCCTACGAGAAGGAGAAGATGCAGGAGCGACTAGCGCGTCTGTCCTCTGGAGTGGCCCTGCTCCGAGTGGGTGGCTCCAGCGATGTGGAGGTAAGCGAGAAGAAGGATCGCGTCCACGACGCCTTAAATGCCACTCGAGCAGCCGTGGAGGAGGGAATTGTGCCCGGCGGAGGAACCGCCCTGCTGCGGTGCATCCAGAAGCTGAACGACCTGAAGGGCGCCAACGAGGACCAGAACATGGGCATTGAGATCATCCGGCGGGCACTGCGAATGCCCTGCTTAACCATAGCGAAGAATGCAGGAGTGGATGGAGCCATGGTGGTGGCCAAGGTGGAGATCCTGGATGGGGATTACGGATACGATGCCCTGAAAGGCGAGTTTGGCAACATGATTGAGCGGGGCATCATCGACCCCACCAAGGTGGTGCGCACCGCCATCTCAGACGCCGCCGGAGTTGCCTCGCTCCTAACCACCGCTGAGGCAGTGGTCACCGAGCTGCCCCTGGAGGAAGCCGCTGCTGCCGGAGCAGCCGCCGGTTTGGGCGCCCTCGGAGGCATGGGCATGGGCGGAATGGGCATGTAATCCAATCCTAATCTTAATCCTTTTACCGCCATCTCTTGTCCAAATTCAAAACACGGGAACGTTTACCACACATGACAAATGTATCTACACTTTTACCACAGTTGCGCGCTGCTTATGGAGATACCTTGATTTTAAATAAATGTGCACTTATATTTTTGTCTGAAACGCCTTAAATGATTTTATTTTGAAAGGGGTTGTATAGCCATTAGAAAGGGATAAACAGTTTAATAAGTACACGGATAAAAAACGAATTGGATTCAAAATTATTAAAAAAAAAATCATTTTTAAAGTTTTGCGATGACTTTAAATTTAAGCATTTTAAACTTTTATTCAAAAAACTAATTATTTTCATCTAAATAATTGATTTTTTATGAAAATATAACTAACATTTAATATTTTTTGCTTTAATATAGAAATTTTTAAAGTCCTGGAAAGTGAATATTAAAATATTGTATTGACTGTTATGTTTTTATATTAAATGCAATTATACAATTTATATATGAAACTTTTAATTCAAAATGCACATATTTTTGATCCCTACACAGAGAGATATATTCAAGTACATTGTACTTGAATTGAGAACATTAGTTCTTAAAAACCGTGTAAGTAAATTTTGGTATTAATGTTCTCAATATTAGAACGAAATGGTAAGAAGAGAAAAGTTAAATTGAGTTTACTTAACAATTTTTTAATAAATATACAATACTGTCCGGACTAATAGTTTAGTTATTGATGTATAAAATTTAAATACCGCCAATTCAACTTGATTATAGGACAATAAAAACATTTTAACTTCAAAAATTTCGTGCTATTGTTAAGAAAAAATTTTCAACTCTCTGTGTACATTATTTGAGTGTGTTTGTAAAAGTGTATATGATAATCATATACACACAATAGATACTATAGATGATAATATTATATTGATATAATTGATCTCATAGTATAAATTATTCATAGGTTTATTAAATTCCTGTCATATTTACACACCTGTGTAATATATTTTGATACATCATTATAATGTTCAGCTTGCAGAAAGAAAGCCGGTGACGGACTCGACATTTCTGGTTGCTAATGCTTCCTCCCTTGGCTTTTTGCCCCGTCCACGTTTCAATGCCTTCCCCAGTTGTTTGTTACTTTGCACCGCCCCGGCCACTGACAGTCTGCTCGTCCTGGAAGTGCTCTTTTACACATGTCCTTTGTCACAGTTGCACTGTTCAGCTAACCACTTGTTATGGTTTTTTCCTTCTTTTTTGTTGCTTCCGGACCCTTCCGTTTTTGCATTTCGCTATGAAATATGAAGCTTTCGGGCTCTTCTAATTGTGCTGAAGAGGTGGCCAAGGGACGGGTTGGAGGAATAATAAACCGCCACTTGACTTTCATGCATTTGCTGCTTAACTTTCCGACATTTATAATGGCATTCGTTGTGGCCCTCGGGCGGAAAGAAATCTGCTTGGATAGTTTCCACTTGGCCTTGCACTGAGCGCCTCTTCAGCTACCTCATCCCTAAACCATCTCAAGACCTGCGGCTAAGGCTCATGCTCATCCGCGGAAAGCGGCTAAGAAAAGCGTTTTTGGGCCCGCGGGCCAAGTGGGTAACAGAGCGTGTTCTGAGACCTCGTTGCTCCTCGTTTCACCACTCTGAGCATGTTGAGCTCCATTCCCGAGGCTTATCCTTGGCTGCTTACACTCGAGTTGCTGTTGCTGTTTGTGTTGCAACATCCTGCCAGAACAGGAGCCCCCCTTTTGGAAAATCCCCACCCACAGCCCCTGGCTGTTTATGTTGTCAACGCAAATTGCACTTTCTGCTCGCCGTGTGATGTTCAAGTGCCTGTTAGGAAGATGATCCGCCCACGTGTCTTAATGATGCTACACGATGCAGCGCCCCGGGCTGCAACAATGCGCCACTTAATTATGAAAAAGGCCGCTTTGAGTGTCGACTGGCTGGCCGGGGGGCTGGGGATTCCAGCACGTTTGCCACCATAACGCCCCATCTAACGTCAGATTTACGACTACGGCTAATCCCGCTCGCTTAGCGCATTAAATCAGCTCCGAAATGGCCATAAAATTGCCCTCGCCTACATTGCAAACATTTCAAAAATTGACAATTTATTGCAAGAGTTGCTTGTTGGGACGGTCGGGGACTGCGCTGAATGAAGGGAAAGTTTTTTTTAGCCCGAAAAAAAGTTTGCACACAATGGGAACGAAAGTTACACTGGCTTACAAAATGAAAATATGAAAATTCTCCAGAAATAACTTTATTTGTTAGTTTCACATTTACCAGAAGTCAGAACCCTGGTAAAAATTGGTTGTTTTACTTGGGCTTAGTAAAAGTGCTTTCATTTCTTACTGGTTTTTAGATCCGTCTATTTATTTTTGATGGTCTATACATTTTGGAGGTTCTCAAATTACCTTCCGTATGCTTACAACTACATTCCTGTTACGTCTTTTTAATTTACCATACTTGTATTGTCAATAACTTTACAATATTAATCGTAGGGTATTTGTAAGCTAGTGCGGACAGGGTAATATTATCATAACTAAAAAAGTTTTAAAACTTTGAGCCCAGTTATCGACTTTATAGTACCCAGTCTTTAGTTCCTAAAGTTAAGGACTTATTTCCTAGCTATACTAAATATTTTCGGAAATCTTAAGCAATAACCCGAAAAAATTCCAGCCTTTAACAAAAGTCTGCGATCGTTAATTCAGTCATTCTGGTATCTCTCTCGAAAATGTGTCCCAAGGCAACTGACGTGAATTCTCCAAGAGCTCGGGGCAGATTTATATTGCATTTGATTTTGATTTTTGTTTGCTTGTGGTGGCACACATGCCCATACCCTCGTACTCCAGTGGCATGCAGCTGCAGTTGCCGTTGTAACATGCAGTTTTACATATACAATATGGCCATTGTTATGATTTATGTGGCAGAAATATTTCGGGCGCGCTTCCTGCAAATGTTTGCCTTTTTTGTGACAGCACTGAGCGAGGGTGGAGGCCCTCTAGATCCCATGGTTTTATGGAACCAAAGTGGAGAGTCTGGGAGAAGGGCTTAAAAGAAGGCGATTTTTGCGCTTAACCCGGCCAAATTCAATTTCAATTTGCACCCCATCAAAAGACAAACAAAAGTCTTTGAACTTTGGCCATAAACATATTGGGGGATTTCGTTTCGTTTTTCCCACATTTTTTGGCAGTCCCCCAGTCTGGCAAATGGGACGACATGTGGAGCGCCTTTTATACTATATGTAGTGTGTGTGTCGAAGGTCTCTTGTCGGCTGCAGTCATCGGTCTGGGGCGTTACTCCATGTCGCAGAATCAGATCCCGTCGCCTCTTGCAGGCCGGGCCATAAACCAATTCGTTTTATGAATTTACACGAGTGCCAGAAAGGCACCCCCAAAGTCGCAGTGGAAGTAGAAGTCAAAGTCTGAGTCGTAATTGAATTCCATGTGTCGCGTTCTCAACTCTTTGATACATGTACTTCACGCAAAGTGGTCTTTAAAGGCCACTTTTCCCTTGCAAAGTTAAATCCCCAAGTGACGACCAGATGCTATCCCAAAACTGACCCCATGGCGGTGCAATTCATAAACGGAAATGGGACTCAAACGTGTTGGGCAACGCAAACAATACTGCTATGGATTTCGCTTAACAACTCAGCCCTCGACCCTTACACTCGTCGGCCAGGAAATGCAATGATAGCCTTGCATTTGAGCTTTGGATTTGGATTTCATTGTTGCAATCCCTTTTCGGGGAACCCGTGTCCCGGTCGCCAAGTGGCATGCGTTTCTAATTTCCTGATGCTCCGGCTCCCCCATCAGGGGCCTCAAATGGCCCCTGCTGTCCCTGGTTGACCTGACAATTCTAAATTTCAGCACACACCAATTTATAAAGGCCACCAGTGTTTAATGTGTTCGGTCCGCACTGAATAGTCTGTGTTTCGAATAATTGAATTTCCAATGGCGATGCGTGCTGACAGCCAGACTGGCAGACGCTTGATGATGATGAATGAGGCAAGAAGCGTAAATCAACAGGATAAACACTTTTACTTTGCATCAAATGGGTTCCGAATTATTATTCGAGACGAAGGATGAGCTTTTAAACCATCCTGCATTCTGGCCACTTGACTGATCTTTAAAAATTATGTTAAAAATTCAGCTGTAATAATACACATAAATAAATAAAATGTATACCCTTAAAACTAAGTTGACATATAAAACATTTTCCAAAATGGTAACTGTGTTTAAAAAATGGGTAAATATAAAATTTATTTAGATCGATCTCTTCAAATAAATTTAAAATGAATAATGTGTACTGTGGCTCTAAACTATTACATAATTGGCATGTACTTTTAATTAAATTGTGTGATGTATCTGGCTTTCAACGATTCAACAGCATCAGGGTTATTAAATTTCCGAAATTTCTGATTATTGAGTTTAAATGAGACAGCCTTTAAACAGGAAACTAGAACTTTAACATTTTGTATTTGAAAAGGAAGTATTTTTTTTAATGATTTCCGTAATATAACGAAATGGATAGTTGTATATGGGCAGATCATACTAGTCCTAAAAGTATAAAGCTTATAGAGTCTTGCTGCATTTTCCAAGAGTGTTGAACGACCTAGATCTGCTTAAACTTATAATAATAATTAAAGAGGATTAAAGGACATACAGGCGATTGTAGCCCAAAAAATTCTGCTGATCACTAGGCTTTAATGCATCGCCTGTTGACCACGCAAACGTAAAGGACAATCAAACGCAGTGATTGGATGGACAGCAATTACCAGTGATTTTTTCGCGCCTTTATTAATTGCAAGCCGCCGGCATGCCTCCGTTTCAGTTCACTTCCTCCCCGGACAAAAAGCAGCCAGCCGTCCAGCAATTAATCAATTTGGCCTCTTAATTATCGAGCCGAACGCAGCGAAATCAGAGTAAGACAAACAATACGAGTTCAACCATACCAAAAGAGTAAATGAATTGCGATGAGCCTTCCTAGCTGACCGAACAGTTAATTAAATCGGACGAAAACTTAAAAAAAACGTCCTTTTAAATTCCCTTGAACATTTTCGGAATGGAAGCAGAAGAGCCCTGTTTCGGAGCCGATTAAAATGCCATCAATTTGAAAATGGATAGCTTGCGAAACGGTTTTTCATCTCCAGAGCCAGCCTGTCAGCTGT